TGCGACACCAGGAAGACACTTCGGGATTGGGCCTTTCGACAGTCAAAGGGTTAAATCTCCTGCCTTGTTTTTTAGAGCGTTGATAATAAGGGAGACTTCGTATGGGTTAGTCGGAGCTAGGAACAGTGTGTTTGGGTAGTTGCCCGTGAGGTAGTCATTTGGTGGGGTATCTGAGCTTGGGATTTTATTGGCAAGGTTTTGTCCTATAGTGGAGAAGAAATCATTGAGTCTGTTTGCTGTTTCTGTTGGTGGGAATTGGGGTTCATCTGATTTTGCTAATTTTATTTCACTATTTCTTGATGTCTTTTTTTGTTCCTCGAATTTCTGATAGGGTTTTCCAGGTCTTTTTTACATCACCTCGTAAGATGGATAATCTGTTCTCATAATACAATTTTTTTTGCCCTTCTTATCAGGCTGGTTAGGATTGACGAGTAACGTTTTGTGGTCTCTGGTTATGTGACCCATACAACCATATCTTCCATCGTGGCCAAGAAAAAAGAAATCAAGGAAGCTGTTGTTGCAAAGGGGGTAAATATGCTGACAAAAATGAGATCACCAGTACTCGTAGAGGTTGAGAAGTTATTATTGGTGTGGATAAACGAGAAACAATTAGCAGGCGATAGTCTTATGACGTCGATTATTTGTGAAAAGGCTAGGCAGTTGCATGACGATCTGGTAAAAAAATTGCCTGCAACGAGTACTGATATTTGTGAATTTAAGGCCAGCAAAGGTTGGTTTGAGAGATTTAAGAACCGTAGTGGCATACACAGTGTGATAAGGCATGGTGAGGCTGCCAGTTCAGACAAAATTGCAGCTACAAAATTCGTAAGTGAATACAAGGAGTACATAGAAGCTGAAGGACTGAAACCTGAACAAGTGTTCAGTTGTGATGAAACAGGCCTCTTCTGGAAGAAAATGGCAAAGAGGACTTACATTACTCAGGAGGAAAAGAGACTGCCAGAACACAAGCCTATGAAAGACAGGCTGACCCAGACAGGCTGACCCCTCATGTTCTGTGCTAATGCTAGTGGGGATTTCAAAGTGAAGCCGTTACTAGTGTACCATTCTGAAAATCCCAGTGTGTTCAAGAAAAACAATGTTTTGAAGAGTAAATTGTGTGTGTTTTGGAGATCTAATAATAAAGCATGGGTCACGAGGGAAATTTTCGTCGAGTGGTTCAATGAAGTGTTTGGCCCAAGTGTGAAGAATTACCTCCTGGAAAAGAAATTGGATCTCAAGTGTCTCCTAGTAATGGACAATGCACCTGCTCATCCTCCAAACTTGGATGACCTAATTCTGAAGGAGTTTGGGTTCATCACAGTAAAGTTCTTGCCCCCGAATACCACTGCTCTCCTCCAGCCCATGGACCAGCAGGTCATTTCAAACTTTAAAAAACTCTACACCAAAGCAATGTTTGAAAGTTGCTTTAATGTGACCTCAGACACACTCACTGACCCTAAGAGATTTTTGAAAGAACACTTCAGTATTCTCCATTGCATAAGCCTTATAGGTAAGGCTTGAGAGGGAGTGACTACCAGGACTTTGAACTCTGCTTGGAGAAACTTGTGGCCGGATCGCGTCCACAAGAGGGATTTTGAAGGGTTTGAGGCAGCCCCTGATGAGCATATGTCAGTTGTGAACTCTATTGTGGCATTGGGGAGTTCCATGGGGTTGGTAATGAGTTTGGAGGATGTGGAAGAGTTGGTGGAGGACCACAACGAAGAGCTAACCACTGAGGAGCTGCAAGAGCTTCAGCAGGAACAGCAACAGATTGCAGCTCAGAATCTTGCTGCAGAGGAGGAGGAAGAGAGATGGAAGAAGGTGCATTCTTCAGAAACTAAGATTTTTTAAATGTGGGGTAGGATGGAAAGATTTATGGAGAAACATCACCCTGAGAAGGATGTTGCAAGCCATATCGGCAACTTGTACAGTGACAAGTCTTGGCCCATTTTAGGGAAGTTTTAAAGAGACGCCAGAAACAGAGCTCTCTGGACACTTTTTTTGTGAGACAGGACTCCAATGACTCTCAAGCTGGTCCTAGTGGCATTAAGAAACAGAGAAGAGAAGTAACCCCAGAAAAGGACTTGGTACCTGAAGTGTTGATGGAAGGGGATTCCCCTTCCAAACAGTAACTAATCCAATCTCTCCTCCTCCAGTCTTCCATACACTAAGAAGAATCGCCAATAAAGGTAAGTATTATGCTGTTAATGTTGCATTCATCATGTGCCATTGTATTGTTTATGTACTACATTTATATTTCATGTAAAAAAATTTTTGTTTTAATACTTCTGGGTGTCAGGAACGGATTAATTGTATTTACATTATTTCTTATGGGGAAAATTGATTCGAAAATCGTCGCACTTCCAGGAACGGATTAACGACGATAAACGAGGGACCACTGTAATCACGAAACTCGGGGGTCCACTGTAGTAGAAAAAACACTGCAAAAGAAATGAGCAAGTCATAATCAAACTAAATGCAAAAAACAGAAGGATGTTGATAAATTTGTAAATCTTCAGAAGGAAATTTGTGATATCTTAATTACAAAGTTCCAAATTGTATTTACAGAAAAAATACTTTAGAGTAAGTAAACCTAAACCCCCAACAGCAGTCAAAATGTAACCGACAGTAATAACCAAAGAATAAATAAAGTGTTCTGTCATTATGTTTTGATTTTAGGGTCTGTATATCAGACCCTAAAATCAAAACATAAGGACAGGACATTATATATTTTAAAACAATTGGAAACACATTTATAGATGGGGTTGTAAAAGAAGTGAACACTAGGGCATTGGGGAGAGGTGTGGAAATAAAAGATAGTAAATCTGGTACAGAGTGGGAGTTGTCACACCTGCTTTTTTTTACTGGCAACCTATAAAATGAAAATGATGTACCATGAACAAAACTCTGCTCATGTAAATATGAAGAGGTAATCCATCCAACAGAAAATTCACAAAATGGACAGCCAGATACAATATAAAGTTCTTCAGTCTCCTTACATGTCATGTGATCCTGTTCATATACTAACTTCTAAAGGTTCTACTATAGGTCAGATGTGTGTGTGTGCCAGGGGTGTCAGGTGACTCAGGAGAATAACCTAACGAGAGCTTTCTTGTCTGAAGTCTAAGAGATGTGTTTAATGTTCTGTTATGCCACAACTATTTCTACAATGCTATTTTCTTTTTTTAATGCTAGTTAATGATGAGACAATCCTCATATCCACAACAAATTCTTATTTCTCAAAGGCAACAAAAGAAACTCATGCAATGCTTCTTTCAAGAGTGCTGAACATATGAAGGTATGTGCAATGAAAGAGAAACTCTGCAAGAGCATACCTAAAGGAGGGAAAGCTCTCAGAAAAAAATGTATAAAAGATATTGCTCAGCACAGGGAACTGCACCAACTCATGTTTACTAACCTTGCTGCCATCATCATGCCAAGCCACATCCATCACTGGCCCACCCATGGTCTGCTGAGCTTTGCCAACAGTTTTTCCATCTCGTTGCACTTCCCAGCAACGTACCTTGGTGTACACAATGTAATACAATGCATTAGCTCTTTAAGAAATAAGGACAATAAAAGAAGATGCACTTTTAACCCACTCACTGAGACTCTCTCACGTACCAACATTATTGATGCCGGTATAACTCATGTAGATTTTTATAAAATTAACACATCAGCCGATTCCCACTAAGGCAGGGTGGCCCAAAACAAAAAAAAATTCATCATCATTCACTCCATCACTGTCTTGCCAGAGGGGTGCTTTACACTACAGTTTATAAAACTGCAACATTAACACCCCCCCCCCCCCTTCAGAGTCCAGACACTGTACTTCACATCTCCAGGACTCAAGTCCGGCCTGCCGGTTTCCCTGAATCACATGATAAATGTTACTTTGCTCACACTCCAAGAGCATGACAAGTATTAAAAACCATTTGTGTCCATTTACTCCTATCAAATACGCTCACGCATGCTTGCTGGAAGTCCAAACCCCTCACAGACAAAATCTCCTTTACCCCCTCCCCCCAAACTTTCCTCAACAACCCTTCCTCAGCCCTCTGGACAACAGTTTTGGCAATCCCGCACCTCCTCCTAACTTCCAAACTACGAATTCTCTGCATTATATTCACACCACACATTGCCCTCAGACATGACGTCTCCACTGCCTCCAGCTTTCTCCTTGTAGCAACATTCACCACCCATCCTTCACACCCGTATAAGAGTGTTGGTAAAACTATACTCTCATACAATCTGCTCTTTGCTTCAATGGACAAAGTTCTGTGTCAAAACAGACTCCTAAGTGCACCGCTCACCCTTTTTCCCTCGTCTATTCTATGATTCACCTCATCTTTCACAGACCTATCTGCTGACACGTCCACTCCCAAATTTATGAATACATTCACCTCCTCCATACTATCTCCCTCCAATCTGACATCCTCATAACCTTACTCTTTCATATATTCACTTTTAATTTTTTCATTAACATACCCTACCAAATTCATCCACCAACCTCTGCAACTTCTCTTCAGTCTCACAAAAGCACAGTGTCATCAGCAAAGAACAACTGTGGCAACTCCCACTTTGTGTTTGATTCTTTATCTTTTAACCCCACACCTCTTGCCAACACCCAAGCATTCACTTCTCTTACAACTCCATCTATAAATATATTGGACATCCATAGTGACATCACACATCCCTGTGTAAGGCCTACTTGTACTGGGAAATAATCTCCCTCTTTCCTACATACTCTAATCTAAACCTTACTATCCTCATAAAAACTCTTCAGTACTTTCAGTAACCTACTTCCTATACCATACACCTGCAACATCTGCCACAATGCCCCCTTATCCACCCTGTCATACGCCTTTTCCAGATCCATAAATGCCACAAAAACGTCTTCACCCTTATCTAAATACTCTTCACCTATATGTTTCACTGTGAACACTTGGTCTATGTACCCCCTACCTTTCCTAAAGCCTCCTTGTTCATCTGTTATCCTACTCTCCATCTTACTCTTAATTCTTTCAATAAGAACTCTACCATACACTTTACCAGTTATACTCAACAGACTTATTCCCCTACAATTTTTGCACTCTCTTTTGTCCCCTTTGCCTTCATACAAAGGAACTATGCACGCTCTCTGCCAATCCCTAGGCACCTTACCCTCTTCCATACATTTATTAAATAATAGCACCACTACTCCAAAACTATATCCCCACTTGCTTTTAGCATTTCTATCTTTATCCCATCAATCCCAGCTGCCTCAACCCCCTTTTCATTCTACCCACTGCCTCACAAACTTCCCCCACACTCACAACTGGCTCTTCCTCACTCCTACAAGATGTTATTCCTCCTTGCCCTATACATGAAATCACAGCTTCCCTATCTTCATCAACATTCAACAATTCCTCAAAATATTCCCTCCATCTTCCCGATACCGCTAACTCTAACTCTCCATTTAATAACTCTCCTCTCCTATTTTTAACTGACATATCGATTTGTTCCCTAGGCTTCCTCAACTTGTTAATCTCACTCCAAAACTTTTTCTTATTTTCAACAAAATTTATTGATAACATCTCATCCACTCTCTCATTTGCTTTCTTTTTACACTGCTTCACTACTCTCTTAACCTCTCTTTTTGTCTCCATATACTCTTCCCTCCTTGCATCACTTCTATTTTGTAAAAACCTCTCATATGCTAACTTTTTCTCCCTTACTACTCACTTTACATCATCCCATCAATCTACATCTTAATTACAGAACTGTAAGTGGTTAAGTCTAGACATGAGACAATGGGTCTGTGTGGTGGGTGTGCACAGCATAAAAAAAATCCTACCCCACATAGTGAATGATGGGAACAGGTGGTCTTTGATCTTGCATTTGGTTAAAATAGCAACCTTGAGATGTTTTCTAAGGTGGTTTTTTATTGCTTTACTGGCTGTTACTTCATATCAATTGATAGAATGCAAGACTTCCTAGTGAAATAAAAATAATTTTCTTTGGTTTCAAACTGGAAGTGGCTTCAAATATGCCTCAAACTGGTAGAGATACTGTAGACGATCATTTAGCACGAGTTTATCTGGCACGATTTGGGTATAGCACGATTGAAGAACTGAAGCCCAATTTTATGTAACATGTCATAAAATAAATTTAACACGACTCAGTTTGTGGGAAGGAAAAAAAAACTTCCCTTTTCCTCAAACAGCCGCCTTGCTGTGGATCAGCGGGGAGACCTCACGCCCCCCCCCCCCGACACTGTTTTGTTCTTTTAATTACTATATGTTGTATCTACCAAGCAATCATGACACCCAGTAGGCACAACAGTGTTGCTCAAAGTGGCAAGAAAAGGAGTAAGCATTTAGTCTTAGAACTAATGAAATAAACAAAGTTATTAGACAAGACATAACCTGTGGCCATAACGAAGTGTTACTTTGTACACATAAGTTTGTGTGACTGACTTACTGAATGACTGAATGACTTACTGAATGACTGACTGACTTACTGAATGACTTCACTTACTGAATGACTGACTTACTGCATGACTGGCTGACTTACTGAATGACTGACTGACTTACTGAATGACTGACTGACTTACTGAATGACAGACTGACTTACTGAATGACAGACTGACTTACTGAATGACTGACTGACTTACTGAATGACTGACTGGCTTACTGAATGACTTGACAGACTTACTGACTGACTTACTGAATGACTTGACAGACTTACTGAATGACTTACTGAATGACTTGACAGACTTACTGAATGACTTGACAGACTTACTGAATGACTTGACTGACTTACTGACTGACTTGACTGACTTACTGAATGACGACCTACTGGATGACTTGACTGACTTACTGAATGACTTGACTGACTTACTGACTGACTTATTGACACTTACTGAATGACTTGACTGACTTACTGAGTGACTTGACAGACTTACTGACAGACTTGAACGACTTACTGACTGACTTGACTGACTTACTGAATGACTTGACAGACCTACTGAATGACTTGACTGACTTACTGACTGACTTGACTGACTTACTGAATGATGACTTACTGGATGACTTGCCTGACTTACTGAATGACTTAACTGACTGACTTAACTGACTTACTGAATGACTTACTGAATGACTTGACTGACTTACTGAATGACTTGACTGACTTACTGAGTGACTTGACAGACTTACTGACTGACTTACTGACAGACTTGAACGACTTACTGACTGATGTGACTTACTGAATGACTTGACTGACTTACTGAATGACTTGACTGACTTACTGAATGACTTAACTGACTGACTTACTGAATGACTTGACTTAATGGATGACTTAACTGACTTACTGAATAACTTGACTGACTTACTGACTGACTTGACTGACTTATTGACAGACTTGACTTACTGAATGACTTAACTGACTTACTGAATGACTTAACTGACTTACTGAATGACTTGACTGACTTACTGAATGACTTAACTGACTTACTGAATGACTTAACTGACTTACTGAATGACTTAACTGACTTAATGAATGACTTGACTGACTTACTGAATGACCTGAGACTTACTGAATGACTTGGGACTTACTGAATGACTTTGCTGACTTACTGAATGACTTGAAACTTACTGAATGACTTGAGACTTCCTGAATGACTTGTCTGACTTACTGAGTGACTTGCCTGACTTACTGAATGACTTGACTTACTGAATGACTTGACTGACTTACTGACTGACTTGACTGACTGAAAGAGTGACCTGACTTACTGAATGACTTGGCTGGCTTACTGAATGACTTGACTTACTGAATGAATTGACTGACTTACTGACTGACTTAACTTACTGAATGATTTGTCTGACTTACTGAATGACTTGACTGACTTAACTGACTTATTGAATGACTTGACTCACTGAATGAATTGACTGACTTAATGAATGACTTAACTGACTTAACTGACTTACTGAATGACTTAACTGACTTACTGAATGACTTGACTGACTTACTGAATGACCTGCGACTTACTGAATAACTTGACTGACTTACTGAATGACTTGCCTGACTTACTGAATGACTTGACTGACTTACTGAATGACTTGACTGACTTACTGAAGGACTTGACTGACTTACTGAATGACTTGACTGACTTACTGAATGACTTGATGGACTTACTGAGTGACTTGCCTGACTTACTGAATGACTTGACTTACTGAATGACTTGACTTACTGAATGACTTGAGACATACTGAATGACTTGACTGACTTACTGAATGACTTGACCGACTTACTGAGTGACTTGTCTGACTTACTGAATGACTTGACTGACTGAATGACTTGACTGACTTACTGAATGACTTGACCGACTTACAGACTGACTTGACTGACTTACTGACTGACTTGACTTGCTGAATGACTTGACTGACTTACTGAACGACTTGACTTACTGACTGACTTGACTGACTTACTGAGTGACTTGACTTACTGAATGATTTGTCTGACTTACTGAATGACTTGACTGGC